ATTTGTACATCGTTTCTCAAAACATTTTCTCTCCATTTAAACCCCCTTTTGTCTTTTCCCTTTTCTCTCACAAGTCACTGCTGCCCTCCAGACCACTCCCTTAGTAAGGCATTTACACCTGCCCTCCACCCAGCTGGGAGAGGTCAACCCTGTGCAGCTTAGTCCAAGGCTGGGGAAAGTGCACCCACCCGCCACCAGGGGATATTCTGCCCAATTTACTGGGGAATTCCTGCCTGTGCAGCTTGGGGAGCTCCTATCTGTCCTCTGTGGTCCCATGTGACTGAGGGAACTTCCTCCCGCATGCTTTAGTGCCTCACATAGGCTAAGACAGCTCAGCCAACATTTGCCAACCTCCTGTGGGAACTTCTGCCCAACCTCCCCAGTGATCTACCTGACCAGGGAAATTCTGCCCACCTTTTGTGGTGCTCGACACCAAAGCAGGCAACCCACCAGCCTTCTGTGGCACTCCCATTGCAGCGGGCTCCCCCACATGTCCTCTGTGGCACCCTAAGCAGCCAAGGGCCACCCCATCAAGACTTCTTGTGAGATCACCCAGTACAGCACTGTCCTAGTGGATCCACAATAACCCAACCAATGGACCATCCAACTTGCCCTCCAAATAATAGAATACTGGTTGACTAGGGAAAAGTGAAGCCACCCAAAGATAAAGTGGTAGGACAATTCCATAGCGAAATTAGTTGCAGGCAGTTTGAAGAAGCACTCCTACGAGTATCCCAGAGAGAGCCAGTGCTCTTCGACTCCCTGGAAAATGGAACCGAGCACCTCTAAAACAAAGCAACGCAAACAGGCCCAACGACCTCAAAAATAAATAAATAAATACATAAATAAACCCCAAGAGAAACAAAAGGCAATGGCAGAATATGTCTTGAACCTAACGGCGTGCATTGAAGAAGCAGATATTGATCTGCCACAGAAAGAAATTTTCAGAATGTTGTTTGGAGTCATACAGGATATGAGGGAAACAACACAGAAAAAAGATGAAATGACAGAGGAGATAAAATCCACACACCAAAGGGAAATACAAGAGCTTAGGAAGGAGATAATAAAAACCAGTAGCAGACACACAAACCTCGAGAATCGACTGGAGGAAGCAGAGAACAGTACTAGACCTAGAGCATAGCCAAGCAGACTTTAACGCAAAAAAAAAAAAATCTAATAATATCATCAGAGAAGCTGAAGAAAACCTAAGAGCTATGTCTGATGCTATGCAGAGGAAAAACATCAAGAATAAATGGATTAAGGAGGAAGACACAACAAAGAAGTCATCTGCAGCAAAAGTGAGAGAATTCTTGGAGGTAAACTCCCCCAGCTTAAGGAATAAAAACAAGGCAACAATTCAGGAGGCTGAAAGAACACCAGCTAGACTGAATCCCAAGAAGTCACCTAATAGTTAAACTATCCAACTTTGGGGAAAAGGGAGAAAATCACGAGAGCAGCTAGGGAAAAACAAACAATCACATATAAAGGTTCCCAAATAAGAATATGTTCAGACCTATCAGTGGAAACTGTGAAGAGGAGAGAGTGGAGGAACATATTCCAAAAATTGTAGGAAAATAACATAAACCCAAGAATACTCTACCCGGCCAAATTATCTATCAAGATAGATGGGGAAGTAATCTTCCCAGACAAGGAAAAACTCAAAGAATACTTTAAAAGACCTTCAGGTACCCAGTATGGGCAGAAGAACAAAACTCACCAAGCATAAATAAAAGACTGTCACAAAGAACAACCTCACCTAGAGGGCAACAAAGAGAAAATAGACCCCAAGATAGCATTGGCTTAGGGTGGAAAGATGTTAATATCTCTCTCTCTCTCTCTCACACACACACACACACACACAGAGGTAGGGGGAGGGGGAAGGAAGGCGGAGAGAATCATGCGAGGTTCTTGGATCAGCAGCGTGGACGTTTCTGAGCAGGATTTGCAAAATCCCTACCTACTTCCTCCCTCTGGGGGATTTGAACCCCCATGGCCACTGAAAACAGCATCATCGTGCTGGATGATGATGACAAAGATGAAGCAGCTGCTCAGCCAGGGCCCTCCCACCCCCCCCCACAAGCTGGCATTGCCCCGGGCAGAAGCCCCTGGCTCCTCCAAGCCCTGTGGAGCTGGAGGAAGCAGTAGTTCGGGCGGAAAGAAATGCTACACGTTGGAGAATGAGAAGCTGTTTGAAGCACAGACGGCAGACCACCCCGCGGTGGTCCCATTCCTCTGTGAACGCCAGCAGCGTGCCCACTCTCTGTTTTTGGCCTTGGCAGAGTTCTGCAACATCCTCTTGCGGGTCCTGTCAGGCCTGGAGCTGGTCAGCTAAGCCCTATGTCTACATCAACTCTTTTTTTTTCTTTTTTAACATTTTATTAGGGGCTCATACAACTGTTATCCCAATCCATACACACATCAATTGTGTAAAGCGCATTTGTACATCGTTTCTCAAAACATTTTCTCTCCATTTAAACCCCCGACATTAGGTCCTCATTTTTCCCCTCCCTCCCCGCTCCCCCCTCCCGCATGAGCCCTTGATAGTTTATAAATGGGTATTTTGTCATATCTTGCCCTGTCCGACGTACATCAACTCTTAACTGTTCTCAAGGCCCACTCAGTCAAGAAGCTGAACCTGACTCCTGCTGCCACCACCTCCTCTGGGCCCTCTGGAAATACCCCCCACCCCCAACCCTTCCTCAGACCCCAAATGGCTGAGACCACACCCTCTCTGGCCCCAAGGTCCTGTGGCTCCCGGGGGCAGATCTAGCACTTAGAGCAGCTGCTGGCTCTCTATGTGGCAGAGATCCGGAGGCTGCAGGAGGAGCTGGATCTCTCAGAACTGGATGATCCCGACTCATCCATCATACATGCAGGAGGCACGGTTGAAGCGTAAGCTAATCCGCCTCTTTGGGCAGCTGTGTGAGCTAAAAGACTGTTCTTCACTGACCGGTTGGGTCATTGAGCAGCACAACCCCTACCGTGGAACGCGCTACCCAGAGGTCAACAGGCGCATCGAGCAGCTTATCAACAAGCCTGGGCCTGATACCTTCCCTGACTATGGAGATGTGCTGCAGGCCGTGGAGAAGGCAGCTACTCGCTACAGCTTCGGTCTCTCCCCGCAGCAGCTCCAGCTCATAGCTCGGGATGCTTTCTGAGATGTGGGCATGAGGCTGCAGGAGCGATGCCTCAATCTCATCTACAACTTTGGTTGCCACCTCACAGATGACTATAGGCCAGGCATTGACCCCGCATTGCTGGATCCCACCCTGGCCCAACGCTTGCGGGAAAACCGGAACTTGGCTATGAGCCAGCTGGATGAGGTCATCTCCAAGTACGCAGTGCTGTTAAGACAAGAATGAGGTGGATGAGAGGCAGAAAAGAAGATCCCAGCACCCCAAAGCCACCTCTTCCCACTCTGCAGATCTCCCCAGAGCCTCCTCAGATTCTGGTGAGGGTCCTAGTGGATTAGTGTCTCAGGAATGTCCTACCACATCCAAAGTGGAGACGGATGAGGAAGAGAGTGAAGAGGAGGAAGAGGAGGAGGACCCTGATTCTGCAGAAGATCTGGAACAAATTCGGGAATGCCATGGGTCCGATGAAGAGGATAAGGAGGAGGAAGCGGGCAAGGATGGCGAAAAGAGCCCCACATCGCCCCTGCAGACCTCACCTGGAAGCTGGCCAAGAGCTGAGCAAGTCTTCAAGTGGACGGCAAAACAGAAGACTGAGAGTGCTCCCCTCTTCACTGTCAGAGGAGCCCCTGGCCCTGTCCACCACAGGTGCCAAAAGCAGTGGCGAACAGTTGCCTCTGGAGAAAGAGAGTCCTATGTCTCAACTCTTTGAGCTAGAGATTGAGGCCTTGCCTGTGGAGACCACCCCTTCCTCTGAGGAGAGGGATATTGCCCCTTCCAGGAAGCAAACCGAGGACTCACTGCCCCCTGTGGTGGAGAATGGAGCTGTGTCACCTCACACCTGGGGCGATTCCAGCCCCACCCCTGCAAGAAATCTCAGGAGGAGGACACAAGGACAGGGTCACTGGGTGTCAGCTATGTGGAAAAGTGAAGGGCAGTGAATGAGAAGAATGGGAAGAGAATATGTATCCTCCCAGCCCACCCACACCCCTGGCATCCAAGACCCTAGTAGCTGATTCCTCAACGAGGATGGACTCTCCCAGCCACAGCCTGGTGACCAGCTCCCTCTGCGGCTTTTCTCCAGCCTAGTGGTGCCCAAACCCCCAATCCCAAGCCCCCCGGCCAGGTACTTACAAGATGAGTGTGGCCACAGTGCGATCCAGAGGAGGATCATCGTGCTCTTGGACTCAGATTAACTGGCTCCCCCACTGTCTCCCTCCTGCCTCCAAAATGTTTGCAAAACCGTCATGTTTGGAGGATGATAGGGAGCAGATGACTGAAGAGGAAGGACTGAGCTCATCCCCTTTGGGTGATTTCTTTTACAAACATAAAAGCTTATGTTTTACACAGAAACATTAAACAATAAAGTTCTTTTCTTATTGTTAAAAAAAAAAAAGGGAGGTAGGAAAACACCTAACACAAAAGGTATAAGATGACATCACAGAGTCCACAGATGGAGATAATAACATGATAATCAATGGATTGGACTTACACATTAAAAGACTGAGGCTAGCAAACTGGCTAAGGAAACACAACCCATCATCACTGCCTACAGGAGACACATCTCAAGACTACAGACAAAAATAGTCTGAGAATGGAGAAAGGCATACCAAGCAAACAGCAATTC